AATGCCCCGGTCTCTGCTCGGTAGAGCAATAGCCGAAGCTGAAAGATGGATGTCTTGAAGCTCAGCTGCCCAGGCACGACTGCTCTCGGACTACGGAGAGATGTCTATGATCACTGGAAATCGCAGTCTCAGTGGTTCTGTCTGTGGAGAATGGAAGTGAGGAGGAAACGGAAATCTCACGATACAATACCTCTCACTGTTGGCACAGGCAAACAGCAACTCACAAGCTTTCACGCGTAGGTAGAGTTGATATCAAATGTTGGCTCGTTCCTCCAAAGATCATGCATCCAATTATATATGTCAGCCGTCAGTACCTTAAGCATATGTCAAAAACATCGCTCTCGAACAAAACGTCGTCCGGTGACTTTAGTGAGTTACGAGGTCTCAAGTTTTATTTGCGGACCTGTACGCACCTGTACCGCATCGGTAGTGGGAGGGTAGGTTATGAGCATGTATCGAAAATCAACTGAAGCCCATTCTGCAATGCCTCTATCATTTATTGCACTCTGTCGCTGCTCACCTATTTTCTGAGGTTGGCGCCAAGTGTGAACCGGAGATCACGGTTAGGTCTGGCTTACGATGCTTCTGGACATCTGTCCTGGGCCTGATATTCACTCGATATTAATTCAACTAGATGCCAAAAGCTCCTTTGGGTGATCTTTCAACTCATAAACATCAAACCTTCTGCTGCAGAGAGGACCGGAAGGGTGCCTTCTGACTCGACATCGTGGGCACGGGTTGCCAGATGCGCCAAGTCGCAATGTGGGCGGGCTGTAGTTGTGGAGCGTCGATGCGCAGCATACCGACAAGTGTCCAAAAACGGCAGTGTTATCGTGGGCTCCCAGGATATTGTGATACTAGCGACTTCACAATTACTTTACTGCGACGTGTATGGCTTGGAGCCGTGGGCTGTCATCATTTCTCGGCCGAGTCCATTGCAGCCTAGATAGGCTGGCCTCGATGATCTCTGACTTCTATGCACGCATGCAACGTGAAGAATACAAAAGGCTAATGATTTGAATAAATAGTCATATTCGCTTTCTTCTCGAACGGCAGCCCGAGGTGTTTGAACTGAAGGGTGACATTCCTAACGGAATTTCTCGTACAGCCAAGCTATACAAACCTCACTGTGCTATATGCGGCAATGAAAGATACATCACCTAACCAGGAAACTCGAACGGGGTATCTTCCATAGCGTCCCTTGTGTTAATGCGCAGAAGGGCCTCCATATTCGGATCTTTGAGTGCATTACAGTCGTCATTATGCTTCTTGCGATCCTTTCCAGCTTTCATACACTCCTGCCGAGTCTTTCAGCACGACTGTCGTCCCAAGGAATTGAATATGCTGCCGGGGACTTACCTTTCCGCAATAGAAGTACCAGGGACAGCTATCGCACTGTTTCATTCTCTTCCCTTCATTACCACAGGCATAGCATCGTTTTGTCACGCCTTCTTCGTCCAGCGTTTCCCAGTAATCACAGAGGGCCTTGTTCATACTGAGCACCCGATCCAGCTTGAATGGAAATGCCTGATGAAGTCAATAGATGAACCATGTCTCGGCTCCTTGATCTTCTCAAGGGCTCTTGGCAGGGCCCACTCACATGGCAAGTCTTTAAATCCGCAACCCGGACACCCTTCGTGCCATCCACAAAGTTGACCCTCTTTGCATACACCACCGCGATGGTATATCCAACCTTGAACTGACTCGGCGTGAAGCGAAGACCTTTGCTGAGGTCAAATCCAATGATGAAATTGTCTCCGTTGCGATCATGGCAGACTAGACAGAACGGATTACCAGCCGATGTAGACGCGGCATCAATCTCGGCGAGAAGGCACCACGTCTCCCCCTCCTCATAGATGGGCTGGCCGAGGTGGTATTCTGATTGTAACTGAGCGAAGGCTGGAAAGAAGTAGGTATCGGTAAAGCTGGCGGGTGGCTCGAAGTCCATATCCCCTGCATCGCTCACCGGAGCGGGGCTCGATGTCGTGGAGTCGGACATGATTATGGAGATCTTTACCGAGAACTGCAGTGCCGGGGTTAAGTGAGATGTGAGATGAGAGAAAGTCGTCCAAGATTCTTGGAAGACAGGAAGAGAGGGGTCAGCCCTCACCTGTGGCGTCTCTGGCGGCGTTGCACAGGATCCCAAGCTTGTGGCGTTCGTCGAACAGGTTGTAATCACATCAGCAATGGACTCCAGGAAAGATGGAATATGAGCTTGGCATGTTTCTAAGAGCTTAAGATGAAAGCCTCAGCCCGTATGATTGCAAATTGGTTGGTGCCTGTGGAGACAGCCGCATGCGGTGGAACGGCGCTTCTCATCCCCTTGCATTCTTGGGACTGTCGGCCGGAAGAGGATTGGGGTGGTTTACCAGCTGAACACGTCTTGGCCGAGAGGGGTCGAGCGGCTTCAGATGAGTCAGCGCCAACCCGATTCCCCATCACCAAGACTACGAGTAATGGTGCCCTCTCGGCAATTGATTAGGTATGCATGAAGAAATACAGAATCTGGAATTTAAGAAAACAGAAAAACTTCAGATTTATTATGTGCTTTGTTCTAGCCAGTCTCTTGAATGCATCAACTGACGCTTACAAAGACGTACATGTATTCCCACAAAGCATGTTTCACCAAGATTGCTTGCTGCCCTTCTCATGATCTGAAATTGAAAAGCAGACATGCTATGAGCTTTTGAATCATGATGTTCCCGCATCACTGGTTTGGCGGGACCTCTGTCCGTTGCTGTCCCCGCCTTCCATGCCATTCCTGTTGTCATGATTGTCTTGCCCATTGTAACTCTGTTCTCCTTCCTGTGCCATAGAAGACTGATTCATTCTGTCACTACCGGCTTCGTTAGAATTATAAGTGCCTGAATAGTTCAATTCGGATCGTCCTTGAAAGCCCCGGAGCAAACTCAACCAAGGGAGCCATGCAATCAGATACCTGACAGGTCTTCCTCTACTTTTAGCGAAACCATCCGCTTCTCCAGAGTCATGCCTGAAGGTAGACTTGCGTCTCATTGCAGGAGAAAAAAGTAGAAACATGTCCCTGACATGCATTGTGCGCGCAGGGAGCGGTGTTGGAGGCGCAGAAAGGGACGGGTCAATGTCGTCGGGTGATCGCCAAGTTTCCAGAAGGAGATAACAGGTTAGCACAAAACCGAAAGCGCCAATCAGCAGAGGAAGCAGCTGTGCTGGAAGGCTAATCTCATTGTCATGGCCCGCGCCTCCCAGGACCGGAGCAACATGGTTGAAATTAAGGGTGCATTCGACGAGTACCATCGAGTAGAGTAAGAAGGCGAGGTTGAGCCAGCGGAGCCATCGAAAAATGGTTTCTAATCTGTTCCATAGACATCAGCATGGCTCCATTGGCTCTTTCAGGCGGATCATAAATGCGCACTAACTCTCCGTACTTGAAGCCTGTCGCAAAGTGCAGGCGTGTAGTCTCAGCCCACCGCCTTTCCCTGTACAAATGCAGCATTTTCCCCAGCCGTGCCCAAGCTGCGATAACGGAGGCGAGGAGCATGATGCCGTAATAGACAATGCATCCTATACACATTATAATGTAAAAGATGCGGATTCCACCATCAGCTCGAACTTTGGCAAACATGAAGGTATACAAGGTCGCGCATTCCGGCGGGTTTGGTTCCTCGACGATTTCTTGCTCCGTACCTGGGTGCACAAGCCCATCGGTGACGCCGAACATCCAAAACCATGGCCCAAAAGCGCTTATCATTAGGCTGACAATAAGCCTCGAGTGTGTTCCGAAACCACCAAAGAAGCGGATCCCTTGAGGTCCGTTGTCAAAGTACTGCCGCGTCCGATATCCCCAGATGCTGAGGGTTCCGAAGAGAAAGCCGCCGCTGAGATGCATTAGGACTAGTCTATCGATACTAGTGAGCATGCTATTGGCGCTGCACTTTATCATGGCGATCAGGATCACCAGTAAGAAGATGTTGTTAGTGTCAGATGCGCCGGCAATATCGGAGGGTAGAAGCGTGTTTGCGATGTAAGCATTGGCCCAGGCAAAATAGATGCCAAGTCGGACCCCAAAGCCATAGAAGTCCGCTGCGCCATCAGTCTCGCATTCGAAAGAATCATTAGCTCGGGCAAGCAGCCCCGAGTGGGCTTGGGTGGTCGGCATTAGGAGGGAAATAAGGGCTTCGACGTCGAGAAGGGGTTAGAATCGTAACAGATCGGCATCAGCATCAAGGCAGCATCGAGGGAAGCCTCAGAGATTTAGAAGAAACAAAAGAGAAGAAAGGATAAGACGCAAATAACAATGCAGATATACTTATATTGCTCGCCTTGGTCTATGTAAATACGTATCTAGTTTCGAACTCATCGGCTTCACAGTAAGATTGCCACCTGATGACACTTTGCGTCTTGTTAGAGGGAGGAATAAACATTTATTGATGGTTCGAGTCCTTGAATATCTCCATGATAGGGTGGTTGTAAGGCAAGACTAGCAAATGATCATTGCAGCAGTTGCACCCTCGCCAAGTCTGACATTGCTGATCGCTTACGTTGCATACGGACCCCAACGGTGGACAAGATCTCACCCTCCCATCTGGTTGGTCGATTATAACACACCAACTTCTAAATTGTCTGTACTACCTGTGACGTAAGATCTGGAATATCCAGCGATGGACTGCAGATATGTGGCTTGCAGCTGAAGTGACAAATTGTTTTGTATCGGTATGATGAATTCGCTGTAAGGGTGGGCCCCGGCCCATCAGTCGCTACGTAAATTGTCATGAAAACATATACTCCTCTGGAAGGCATCGAACAAGGTTATGAGAGTTCTGAGTGGGAATTCAGATTTCATAAGATGTTAATTCGTCACAGGTCGGGCAGCGTAGGTTTCATCATATTGGTCAATTTCAGACGGCTGGCGTTATTTGTTTTCTGAGGACCATGATTTTGAATAAACAAATCAAGGTATCTTCTACGCCAGGTAGGCCTACTCATGTCTGCTTTCGGTTCCCATCGTCAGCGTGGCGGTATCAAAACGCCTTGATCGTTGCGGCCGAGCGCTTGATAACACCGTCGGCCTCATCTACTTGCAGCTGCAGCGCAAGAGAGTCCGCCCCAGAGTACTTGCCCTTTTGTTCCCAGAAGAAGTCCTTGCCAGTCTTCGTTTTCGCGCGGAAGGTGGCCGTGACGTCCACGTCCATTTTGAAGCTGGTATAGAAGGAAGAGCCGACGCAGTACTTCTTGGCAGGGCACTTGAGATTGACAGTGGAAGACTTGGTCAACGTTTCAGACTGGGTGTCCTCCTCAGTTGTGGTCTTCCCAACCTGCCAGTTGAACTCAGTGGACACCTTGGACTTTCCAATGAAGGGAATGCCGGCCTCGGTCTCGACTCCGATTTTGCCGCCGACAGTCCACATATTCGCAACGCTGACTGTGTGAGACTTTGTGACCGCATCCATGGTCATAATAGTGATCATCTGCTCTGTGCTGGAGTTGCGGTTGTCGAGGATCTGAGAACCGACGGTGACGGTCGTGCCGGGTCCGGAGGGCATGATGTTGTCGGTGAAGCCAGAATAGGCCATGTTGCTGATGCTGACTGACTGCAGATCGTCGATGAAATCCCATCCGACGTGGCCAATAAGCCCGACATCGCACCACTGGACGCGGATGCGACCAAGGATGCCAGACCCAACTGGAACTTTGGTCATCGGTGGCGGGTCACGGAGAGTCTGGGCCATAGCGGAGTAGGTTTTGCCAGTTTCGGTAGTGAAATTGAAGCCCAAGAAGGTCCCAGTTTGCTCCATAATCCAAAATTCTTTGATGCGCTCATTGTTCTCGAAGGTGAAGGTGCCGGCATCTGTGTTGCCATCTAGCTTCTGAAAGGCGACGAACCATATCAGCGTTGAGTGGTCATGAGTGACAGCTCTTTTTAAAGTAACTTACACTTGTGATTGAAGTCGTATTGCCTCCAGAGGCTGTAATGTTCATGGCGCGAATGTTGGCGGCGCCCATGAACACCTGCAACGCCTGCAGAGGACCGTTCAGGGTCTCAAAATGAAAGTCTGCAGGGTTGTTGTCGATGAGGTTAATGTCGCCAACATCAACAGACACAAACGCGTCACTCGTAGCTATGGTGAGCGTGTTTCCAGTCGCCGATGACGCCGCTTGCCTCTTGGCTCTACTTGGTTTCGATGACGGCGTAGGTCGATTGGATGCGGTCAATGAATCTTGCAGACGTGCCAGAGCGGCGTCATCGAGGGGCCCATGTTGTATAATATTGGGTGCAATCGTCTGCAAGGAGGCCTGAACGGTTATTCTGTCGGGTTGGGGAACAGGAGAAGTGTGAACCAAAGCTGGGAGGAGAGTTGTGCCCAGCACAAGTTGCTTCAAGGAGAGAATAGAAAGCATTTTTTTCAAAAGAAAGACTTTACAAAAGACTGACTGATTCCAAAAGAGAAGAAAAAGAATGGCCTTTTTGAACGTTAGGAAGGAATGATTCAAGACATGCTCTGGTTGTAAGCATATAATGTAGACGCAAGCCAGTTTTATAATTGATCCTAAATCTCTCCACGATGTCAACATTGGGTGCTGATATCACCCGAAGCCGGCCCCAACAAATCATTTACCCACCATGGAGTCTCCAATAGAAGCAGACCCCCACATCGCCTCCAGCCAGATCATATTGTCCATGTAATCAGGAGAGAACGCATGTAGTAACAATGATGAGTATTAAGACCAGACTAAGATTGTTGTTGTACCGACAGGGTTGAGTTTATTTGCGTGCCGATAGACCGCTTTTGTCTGTTAGACAAGACCACCTTTGGGAATGAAATGCTAAAAGGGGCGGTCATGATATGGTTGGGAGGTATTGGCGGTAGAGGCGATGGGGTCATAGAGGCTTGTCTTCTATTAGAGAGACCGATGTATGCTGGTCAACTACACCAGACGAATCAAGCGAGAGAAAGGCATCAAATGCGATCCAATTCGGCTCTCAAGTTGAGGGTAATGTCACGTATTCTAGCCCACCGCAGGTGGATGAAATATTCGCATGTCACTTAGCTTTGAGAACAGAACGTAATAAGGCTGGTGACTGGTTGACGACATGTGTTCCTCAAAGTACTGGTGGATTCTTACACCCACAAAAGGCAGCTCGCGTCGGTTTTCAATTAATCGGTAATACGAGCTACTGTGGATTGTTATCACTATTTTCGTCTGCTCTTTGGATTTCTGTGCAATGTGGAAACATGTGTACACGGGCATGAGCTCAACTTAATTCATACCGAAACCACTGCGATATATATGGCTTGGTGCTTGCTAATGTTTGTGGTAGAGCTCGCTTGATGGTGAAACATAGCACCAACTTGCTGCTGTCCACCGTTGCTCTCGAAATCATAAGCAATATGGGAGGAGAGGGAGTTCCCTGTTGCAAGTTCCCTGATTTGGCTCTGATTCTCCATCATTATCCCAACCGATTGACACAATTTCATAGCCGTGTTTTCATCCGATGGCTACCAGGTGGTCCGGGTGGGTCCTGAGCTGAAGCCAGGACCAAGGACAGGGCATTGCAACTCTGATGGACAATTATCCTACATATTTCCGATCCAATGAACTTCACGTACGTCCGTATACTACTTTGAAAGGTCCGTACCAACGGACGAATACCGAGCGAACATGGTCTCCTGGACCTGTGGGGTCAGGCTCTGTGGGGCACGAATCTGGCCGACATCAGGAATCGGCTGATGGGTATCAATGCAGGGTCATGCTACCCAAACAGATCATAGGCTACCGAGGCACTGGAGAAGAGGCCATGTCCCCACGGAGACCTGAGCCAACCCAAAAATAACCTTTTGCGGGTTCCGGTGAATTGTGTGCTTGCTCCTAAACCGTGGAACACAAGAAACCTACCACTCTACATCCTCACGCAGCACGAGATACGGCGATATGTCCCAAACATGAGTAGATTTCTTCCAATGCAAACAAGCTCAAATTACAGTCGTATCGTATCGTTTCGTTACAATAAACTCGCCGTCAGCAAAATGCTGCCTGTTCACCTCTGGGAGCTATGGCCAGCAGGTGGAAGGGCACAAGGTAAGTACGAGAGTACTCAATCAGTCAATTCTCCGAAAGGTCAGGAGCTAGCTTGCAGTCCCCGTGCTGATACGTTTGCTACCGGGGACTTGGATTAGCGTTCCTTGTTCACTATTCTAGGTGCAACGACAGTAACGGAGAACCTACACATTATGTTCTATAGTACTTGAACACGTGGTGAAATATCGGCTACATCCTGTTCATGCAGGATTCCATGCGCAAGTTTTGCCACGTGATTACGTATTAGTCGAAGACAAACTGGCGAAAGTTTCCTTCTACAAACAACCACAGCAGGTCGTCGCTGTTGGTAACTCAGCTGTGATGTGGTGAGACATGATGCCCTGGCATACCTTACCCGTTAACACGTGCCTTATTCATGAATCTGCGACGCAACTACCAGGGTGTCTATTTTGGGTTGCCGTTCCATCCGCTGAGTTATCCACCGTGGAGATGCTCAATTGGCAGCCAACGGATGTGTCGGGCAGCAAGATTGTGTGCAGAAGCTTGATTCAAGAGATCTTGCCTTTCAGCGGCGGACAAACTTTCAGCGGAACGTGGAGGGATCGAGAAAACGTTGCACCCCACGTTCCGGACTCGACAGCCCTATGGAATTCTGACAGGCCAATCGCAACTCAAAGATGCGATGGCTGCTGATGTTTGGATTACTGCCCGACAGAGTCAACTTCAACTGAACTCGAGGGGAACCTTACCTGCAGATAATAACGCCATTTTCGAAGTTAGAATCACGTTCTGTCATTCACAGGCGCTTAAGCTGCCAAAATCTAACCGGCACGGGCTAGATCGTTCCAACTTGCGATGCCGAACACGATTTTCTGACATCATTACCAATGCGGAAAGTGGATGTACCTCAACGTGAACGATCTTCTTCGTGATTGGTCGAGATAATCATCGATTCGGACCCGCATGCACGTCCGTTCGTCTCAATCCCGTTCGCAATCTGCCGGGGTCTCCCAATTTTCTGCCACCAGGCACATACTTCCAGCCACACAAGCCGCACTTCCACAAACAGACAGTTCCCGGAGGCCCGAGCTGGTTTCCAGCCTGCCGGATTCATTGTGTCAGCCCAAATGCTATTATTCATTGACAGCCTCAAGTTCGGTCCACTGACAGTTGTTGCGGTTGGGGTGACACTGGTCCTGTCAGCCCCGATCGGCTATCACGCGTTCATTCGCGTCGGTGACCGCGATTTGTTGTCATCCTTGAAGAGACTAGTGCGGCGAGCTCCCCGATATATCCACCCAGAACTGAATGAAGGCTCATTCCGGCTGCTTCATCTTCTTCCAGGACGAGATGGCGATCCCGTTGAGGTGAAACTCACTGTCGCCTCGATCTCTGACCCGCCGGAGTATCACGCGGTATCGTATGCGTGGGGTGACCTTAGGGACAATGCATACATCACCTGCGATGGGAGCGAGATACAAATCACGAAAACGTTATTTGAGGCACTCAAACGATGGCGTCGCACCGATGAGGTGTACACGCTCTGGGCAGACTCAATCTGCATTGACCAGCATAACACAATGGAGAAAACGCACCAGATAGTACACATGACGGAGATCTATTCGAGAGCTGCCTCTGTTCTGATCTGGCTCGGGAGCGACGACAGAGACGTGGATGGCGTAGTGGAACTCGTCGATCAGGCTTTGCAACTCATACCCGAAGTTGTGGATGACCCGAAGAAAAATAGAGAAAGCGCAGAACTCCTTGGGCATCGGAACGCTGAGGGGTCTGAAGCGGGCAAGTCGACGACGAAACATCTCGATTGGAAGCCTCTCCGGTCGCTCCTGAATCACAGCTGGTTCGAGCGTAAATGGGTCTATCAAGAGGCAGTGCTCAACGACAGAACATGGCTGTACTGCGGCAAGCTCGAGATGCCTTTCGAGCCCATGGCGGAACTTGCTTTGCGCATGGCAACATTTGGGATCCAGGCACTGCCGAACGATGGGTCGCTCTCGGACCAGACGGTGGCTTTTATCCCTGGGCGATTGTACAACCTCTCCATGATGCGTCTCAGCCATTGGTATCGGGGAACCAAGCCGATAACGCTGATGGACGGGGTCAAAGCGACTAGGTCATTCTTCTGTAGCAACCCTAGAGACCACATCCTTGGTATTCTAGGACACGCATCAGACGTCGAAAAAGACAGCATCATCTCTCAGGACAATCTTTACTCGCTATCAGTGCAAGAGTGCTATCTGCGCTTCGCCCGCTCCCAGCTTTTGGAGAAGCAAGACTTCGCCGTCCTGGCGTTGGCGCCGCAAAAGCTCATCACTGACGCACTAGCCCCTTGGTATCTTCGCCCGTATATCCGATGGCAGAAGCAGCGTCTTCCAGGCTTGCCGACGTGGGTTCCTGATTTGCGAAACCAGGAGATCGACACATTGCCAAGTTACACCGTCCGATATGGGAAGTTCTCCGCTGGCGGGGCGAAGCCGGGGAGAGTCGAAATCGTAGACGACAAGATTCTCGAGTGCGCGGGTATGTTCATCGATTCAGTCAAGGAAGACGGTGTCTTTTTTCCAGAGCTGCCGTTCCCGCCGAAGCCCAAACGCGTGCCATTTCCACTAGATCGGCTGGGCAGCTATCATTCTCGCAACGCGTGGAGGTCCCTCAACTTTTATAGACAATGTGTAAAACTCGCTTGTGGTTTCGAGGATATCGACGAGATGTCTCCCGAGAGACTCGACTCTTTCTGGCGCACTATGACTTGCGAGAGAAGCCAGCTCAGCGACCGAATCGATGTTGACATGTCGGATCATCTGAAGACGATGATAAAGGGTATGGACATATGGCTCAACTCGGAGGACGTGGAGGAGGCAGAGAGGGCGCGGGTTCGGTTCGTTCTGTCTGGGCAGTCGATCGAGATGAGTGTCCTGTCCGCGGCAACGCCTAGGAGATTTTCGACCACGGTAGAGGGCAGACTCTGCATGATACCAAGGGAGGGAAGAAAAGGCGACCGAGTGTGTCTTCTACTTGGGTCGGAGGTGCCTTTCGTCCTCAGGCCGACTGGAGCCGGGATGTACGAGGTGGTCGGAGACGCCTACGTGAGTGGAGTCATGGATGGGGAGGCACTCGCATCCGGCAAGTATCCTGAGACAAAGGTAACATTGGTATGAGTTCTTGTTTCTGTCTTTTTCGAAATTTGCAACAGGTATCTCGTATTGATAGAGTCACAACCTTGCTCCACAGCGTAGTCTCATTTGAGTCAGAATGCCGGTTGTTTAATGCGTCGAAGAAACTCTCCTTTACCCCTTTTCTTTTCCCTCGACGCATCCCATGTTTGTTGGCATAGCGTATGCTCGTGTTTCGACAATTTGGTGATGATGTTACATGTCTCGTATTGTGTTTGATGCCTTCTATCGTACTGCTGAGGTTTGCTCAAGGCATTGGCGCGCGTGCTGACGCCAATGACGCGTCTTCGACTTCTCTCGTGAGGTAGTCGACAGTTGTAGGGTCAGATACTGTTGACGCTCCCATCAACTTTTTTGGGGTTTCCAGATCGATCACCTTGGGCTTCAGCTGGAAGACCAACTAGGATGCATGACTGATGGGAAAAAATGTTCTCGACGAACAACAACGCTGCGTTGCGCAAAGCTTGACGGGAAGTAGTAGGAAAATACCATCCCATACTTGTTATTGCACTATCGCAGTTCACAAAACAAATCGTTGATTAGAGGGACAATCTCAGGTCCTCGCCAGGACCAATAGAACCACGTCGGCAATTGGTAGAGTTGGCTGGAGGCAGGTGAGACGATGTGGGGGACTCCTGATCAGCCTTGACTGGAATGATGATCTGACAGGGGAGAAGACGCCAGCCACTTGCTTGGAACTTGCACCATCACATCCTGCGGGAGTCTCGTATTCTCGGCTCAATATTCATTCATTACATGCAAAGGACAGAGTGAGGATTCCGAGGCGCGTCGCATCTCGCTCTTGGCGAAAGGACATTGGCGGATGAACACGTATGCTGGAACTTTTGTTTTGTGTCGGCGCACAACACACGCCGATGTTCTTCTACCTTCTTGTGTTTCGGAATTATCGTGTTCGTGGAGATCCTTCCGTGTTTGCTGTGTATCTCGACTATGGACTCTTCGGAAGATTGCATAGATGCCCGCAATGGTGGCAAAGGGTTTTGTATTCGAAGGGTTTGTTCTCTCTCTGCTAACAAAAGCACACACAGCGAGCCCAATTTACGATCTTCAATCTCGTTCACAGACAAAAAGGGAAGATTGCGGCCAGTGTGGATTGAACACACGACCTTCAGATAAGATGATTGAAGTTTACAGGATCGAAACCCACTTCAGTCTGACGCTCTCCCAACTGAGCTATGTCCGCCACGATCTTCGGTGACCTCGGGCACCTTGGCTTTCTTCAAGCCAACCAGCGCGTGAGACGAGTCCAGAAGGTCTCCACTGCTAGGGCTCGATTCCCACCCGAGAATCGTCAGCTCCGCTTCTGTGGGCATCCGCTGGCATCCGCGGTACCGAACACCACACAAACAACTTGCCATCTTCATTGAGCAATCATATGGTCTGGTGGTGTAGTTGGTTATCACGTCAGTCTAACATGCCGAGTTTCTCTCACATGATTGAGAAGTTGCGCGTCTTTCACTGAAGGTCTCCGGTTCAAGTCCGGGCTAGATCAATACAGAAACCTTTTGCCTGCCGTGACAAGTCACAAGATCTTACGGAGGCTGAATCGTGCCTAAGTTTTCGGTGACTTTATTGGCAGCCAATAGAGCCGTTTAGCCGTCGCTCTTGCTTTTATGACGATGTCCGGGTTAAAGTGGGTAATTTCGGTCGGTGCCCGTCCGGATTTGGCCGGAGATTGCCGGAGCCTGTAGACTACGCACCGGACTTCTCCCGGACTCTGAGGGTTTCAACGTCACGCTAGCCACGAACTACAACATCAAACTAAGCAATGCGCATCTTGGCGGACGACGCGCCCCACAGCGAACCGCTTGTGCCCTCATCTTTTGGGACATTCCCCTTTTGTACAGTCCCCATTGGGATAGTTCCCGTAGCCGAGGCACTTGTCGACACTAGCTTGAGGGGCACGGTAGTTGTGATCGCCGATTGTTGTTTTCAGCTTTCATCTAAAGGCGACGCAAACCCAACATCAGTTCACGCCACAAGGAGATTAAGCATGTCTCGTATGATTTGTAAAGAATTCATCTTTAATCATTCGCAAGAACTACGCCGAGGTCTCGGCCGAGTTCTGAGACAAGTTTTCCTGGAGCTTAAACATGTAGGTCTGTTGCTTTCCTCCAATGTCAGTTGACAAGACAACAAATGGGTCTCGCCGTTTACACAATTGGCGGATAAGCTTTTTGCCCGCTGCAACCCTTCGGGGAGTTAGGTTATGTCAGTGGCTCGTGGTCGGCCCTGAACAGGGTGGGCAGATATAAAACGTGGCCGTGCAGCAAACGTGCGGGCGGCTCAGCTGCCGCATGGGGCCACCAGATGAGGACAGACACCTTTTGCACGGTTAGATGTCGATTACGGGACGGTATGGGCCCCCGCCTACGCAGAGCCATGACTCGTAGGTTCGGCTGGTGTCAACGATACACCTGTAGCGACCTATCAGCGGCCTTCTAATATTGCTAGAGTGTGTCCAAGCAATTACCTCAAAGGGCTAGACGCACGCAAATAGTCTTGTCGGCGTTTAGCATCTGAGATTCATATGGCCCGGCTGTCCAGAATAATGGCCATAGCCACCCCTGGAAACAATTCTATCGTCGTCCGTGGGAGAGTCGATGGAGACAGGATCCATACGTAAGCCGAGATCATCGTACGCGTGCTTCTCTCTTTGTAGAGAAACCTGCGAACGTCTGGGGAACTGCAGGGATTTACAACACGGCCTTGTTAGTTGGATCATGGATGCGGGAGATGTGTTGGTGCATTGAGGTTTGCCTGCCGGGAGTTGGTGGTGTGATCGGATAGTCGAGCCGACCTAACACGAATAGACCCTGCTCAGGCGTAGCTTAACGTGTATGTACGCCATGATCTGGTTGGATGGGTATGGAAGCTAGGTTTCAAAGTTCTACCTGTCAGACAATTCTGCCCCGACAACGGGTATCGTCACTATGGCATATGCCATGTTCGAGGCTGGGTGGGGGCTTCAGAATCAACTGTGTCGTAGTCGGCGGCCGTCACATATCGCCAACCCCAGAACCACAGTCCCAAGATTACTGAAGGAAAGTATCCTGCTTGGTCCTGTTTTTTTTTTTTTAGTACAGGGTTATGTCTGACTCAGCGGACGTCAGCGGAAGATCCAAGTCGCGCACAAGACAAGTGTGGCGCCGGGCGGCCCAATTGAATTAGTCCGTACACTTAGCCCCTTAGAACACCCGAGGAAGTGCGAATACGACTGATATACGATGGGCTCCGCGGACGTGGTGTGGGTTATGCGTCCCCCTCTATTAATCGCCCTTTGTATTCTTCTGTGTTACCACCCGAGAACGACTTCGCACTCTTGAGGTTGTGGTTCGGTGATTGTTCTATGAAGACGGTTATCACTGCCGAGATGCCAACCACAATCCTGCGCGGTTCTGCTTACTGTCTCGAGGCTCTACGCGTCACCGCCCAGCAACTCCCTGACAGCTTCCGAGTACGAAGCTCGCGAACATGCAGTCGAATCTCTCTCGACGATCGCACCCAAAGACCCGAACTGGTTGTAAAACCTGCAAGTCAAGAAAGATCAAGGTGAGTGCACAATATGTCATGATATCGCGACAACCATTGGGGCTGTTTTCGCCAGGGAGCCTGGCAACATAGAGCTCTATCGTCTAGCTCCCGCAATCCATCATGCCCGTGCCCCTAATGCTCAACGGCAGCTAGCAGGCTGACGGGGCTGACGGGATGAACGCCTCTATATCATCGTCAGCAGCCAAACAGCGACTAATAAAGCAACTATAGTGTGACGAACAGAGGCCAGCATGCAAGAACTGTATCAAACATGGAGTCGCCTGTGGCTTCCTATCATCTTCGTCACGAGATCCCACATTCTCATTGGCGGAGCACCCGGGAGGGTTAAACTTTCTCGACCTTGAGCTTTTGCATCATTACTGCAACTTCACGGCATACACTTTGTCAGAAAACTCCCTGATGCGCGAGTTTTGGCGTTTAAACGTCGTCAAGCTCGGAATCGAGTGCGACTATGTTATGCGGAGTATTCTCTCCGTTTCAGCTCTACATCTTGCGCACCTCTGCCCAGAGAGAAAGGATCACCTGCTAGAAAAGTCCATGATGCATCACGAGATGTCGTCTAGAGCAGCAGTTGGACTAATGCAAGAGGTACAAGAGAGCAACAAGGCGCAGTTGTTCATCTTCTCTGTGTTGACGATTTATATCGGTGAGTGATTTTTCACGGACTGTTAAAAGCGTACTAGGTATGTTGACTCGCGATTTGATATTTAGTACTAGCCAACTCGCAATATCATAGTGATGCTCCGCTGGCTGGCACTGAACAATCACCAGATTGGATCGTACTATTCTGCGGGACCAGGTATCTAGTTGGAGAGCCGAACGACAACCCCCTGATCTCGCCCATTATCACGCGCACTCTAGCGCACTTCCAGACGCGCGAGAGGCCGTATCATCACACGCACCTCGGAGATCTTGAGGCAAACATCAATGCTTCGGAGCGAGATGATGGATTACTTGCTATATACAATCATGCTATCAACGAGCTTTACAAGTCGTACGGAGCGTTTTACGAGTGCACGGAGCCACAGGACATCACGGATGTGTTCGTCTGGATTGCAATGGTTGCCGATGACTTTCTGCCGTTATTGAGGGATTCCAGACAAAAGGCGTTGGTGATCTTCTTGTACTTTTGCATGCTGCTGAAGCAGCTGCCTAGTCAGTGGTGGCTAGATGCTTGGTCAAACAACCTGTACGGGAAAACGTATGGATCGTTGGACGACGAGCATAGGCCGTGGGTTAGGGACCCGACGATGGAATTCAGCGACATCTGTTCGTGATAACAGCCTCTCCCCGAGAAACCTACTACGCGTGGCAATGCTACCGTCTAGATTGCCAGCCCTACGTGATCCATGATCTGCCACTTGTTTATTGCCCATACCGCAATCGGGATGTGGATACCATGATGCCGCGTGGAAAATCTCCGAACGCCGCAGCAATTGGTGCTTCTTTTATCTGCCCACTTGGCCTGCGGGAAGCGCGGCCTCCGGGCTGACAGCCATCTCTTTCCTTGTCTAAATGTTCGATGTCCGGGTTGCCTACGCCTTGAATGCAATGGAGGTAACTTCAACGATTCGACTAGCGACAGAAGCTAAAGAGCGCATGTTGTAACGAGTAAGGTTGCCAGCCGTGTTCGAGAAAGGTCCGGAAAGTGGGAGTCGATTGCACCAAGCGTTGCAAGGCGCTCTTCAACACTAGCTATAGTCTTGTGCGGGTTTGCTTTGCTCGATGTTTTCGATGGTTTTAACGCGCTCGATGACAGTGTTGTTGTTGTCGTCCTTTTGGAAATTACCTGGGAGACTTTGTAGAGAAAGCAAAACCAGCAACCCCCCGATCTTCTCAACTCCCCTAAATCTCCGTAGCTCGGCTGTCTGGATCCCAACGGCCAGCGGTGTCGACTTTCTTTTCGTCTGTCATTCGAGGTCGTCGTTTAGAGCCACGCGGTAGGCATAGGAGGTAGTCGGTACAAGCTCGAGTGGCTTTGCTCGTTGACAAAGATTCGGACTATTTCGAAGGGGAGGCGCGAGATCGCTGCGTTGTCGACATCCCCGCGGGACTGAAGACAAGACACGGCCGTAAGGGGCGTCTGGTCAAATGAAGAGCCGCGCAGGCTTCGGAACATTATCTGTGGAAGAGGCAAAGAATAATCAGCACCAAGCAGTATGTAGAATGCCAGAGATCTTAACCCCTGGGTTCGATGCTGTTGTCAGGGAGGACGCGGCTGGCAATACTCAACTCGAACGGGTCCTCGCCAGTATGCGTTCCAACCCTTTCCAGCCGCAGCGAAGACCAACGCCTGATGCTGCCGTGAAGCTTCAGGGACAGAGGGTTAGGAGGACAGAACTAGGAATCCCACGGAGCGACAAACCAGACATTTGCTGCTTCTTCAACCACTCTTCGGGCTTCCGCGGCGCCCAGCACTGTCCTGATGATTCGTTTTGGCCCCGCCAATCACGTCGCGCTGTCTCAACGAGGTCCAATGAGCGTGAAGATTTTGCACAAGGCCCATGTCGTCAGTATGGGTCGTCGATGTTTGGGAGGACGAGGCTCCCAGGAGATGCCTTGACAGTCTGGCGCAAGACAGCGAGGAAACAACGACAGAAAAAATCCGGAAGAAGCATCTGCAGCGTTTGTATATGGCGTAATCAATAATCATGTCTCTCGAATAATTGAAAGCCATCGACTTGGGCAAGCCGAAATATTCGTACATCTCGTATTGTTGTCCGAGTCCGAACCCCTCGGACTATAACTGTGGCTTAACCGTGGAAAAGGAGAGCACTAACCTAAATGTCGGTCATCTCAACTCTGTGGCTAGTGTGCAGCGCCATAATGAACACCCGAATTACCCGAGGATCCCAGTCAGTCTTCCAAGCACGGCGCTTACATATCCTTTTACGGTAAGGATCATGCACTGCCAGAGGTTGAAAACTTCAGCCCCGAAACAAATTTCACCGTCACCCGTCACATAAAGCAGGATGCAAATGCGTAGAGAATCTCGGCCATAAGTGCAGTTTAAACCATGAAAGAGCAACAGAACTAGGGCTGCACTTAGTTGCCCAATACCCGCAGCTCTAAACCAATTGTTTTGCCTACCTACGTAGTAAGGGTTAACTTGATTCTCCCGGAATGAGGCTGCTCGGGATTCACATTTCACGATCACTCAGGCGTAGGGAGATGCTTACAGTAGTTGAAAGGTCACGTCTGAGGCACAGCATGTGCATCAACGCCTTGGTTCTCCCACCGAAACATTTTTCGCTGGACATGTGTTCAACTCTGTTGTAATGAGGTCATTGTGGGATATTCTGGTCTGAATAATAGAGCACGACATGTCAACACGATATCGACTGTGGTGAACGCATGTGCTGTGGTTGACGCGTGTGTTGTGGTGGACGCATGTGCTGCGTGGCCACGATATTTAGAGCTGGAAACACGGATAACATAACTGAACGTATATAACATCGAGCTTGAATTCTGTTTTGGTGACAATCATCCGTACTCAAAAAGTTTTGCAATTCCTGAGTTAGTTTATAATAGCGGGAAATGTAGCAACATCCATAAGAAAGCTGACTATGTGATTATTGTGGTTATGAAAGCAAGCCAAACCCGTTCCACACGATGAGCTTAAAGTTGAAAAACGTTACCGTTCAGGGCTGCCAGTGATTTACAGTACGTCTCGAGCTAAAAGTTCAGACGACTAGGTGAATATGATATTTTGCGCGGAATTAATGTTTTGTCGGTTTTCACCTCGCTCTAGTACCCAGTCCCAAAATGTGAGCTACTACCAAGCTAGATTAGATGCCTAGGTGCCTGAGTAAAGATAATCCGGTGGAATTTTATTTTTTGCCTGGTCGCAATCAAATATGGAGGTCTCCGGTGTTAGTTACGAGCAGGTCAGGGCAACTGAACGCACCAGAAAGCATGAGCTTCAGCAATGACAACGCCGCTATCCTAAATCATCATGTCTGGGTCTGCACTACAGACTTTTGCTAGCCAGCACCCCAACTGGTTGGACACTCCTTTCTCCAACGAAACCAACAGTTCCGCCACTTTTGTTCCACACAACCTATCTTAAAAGACCAACGCAACGCATATACGACTCCGATGTTCTCAACGGACATGTCATGCTGCGCCCTGTGCCCCGCGTGATCTTCTTCACTGCCATCAACACAATCCCATGATCACCGACAGGCCTTAAACACTTTATCTTTTGGATTTCTTCTCCGCCTGGTCAAGTACATCGCTGGCCATCAAGATGATCCATCAAAAGCTGTTTGCGACATAAGGTGGATGAGGTTGGAAAATGAGGATCGCACGCTTGGAAAATCTTGAATGACACTGCAGTACAAGCCATGAACTTCATGCAAATCAGGATAGATACACAGCCTGCGGCCCGCCCTTGTGCAACGCCATCGCCTCCCCGTCCATAATGCCATACACAAAAGCATCACCTATCAGGGAAAATAGGGGAGTCGCACTACTTCGAGGGCTTTTGTCGCCCGTGGATGGCCGCAGAATGAACGGCACCTTGCCGCCCGAAAGAACCCAGACCTCGTCCCCCTCGACTAAGTTCGGTGGACCGACACCAACGTACCCTCTCTCCGTGACAAAGAAGGTCTGACCAGCTATCATCATGCGCACGGAGTTGCAGATGAGTTTGTCCAAGGGACTGCCTCCATGGAATTGTAATGCGGCAAGGCGAGCGTCATTGTCATTGGCCCTCCGCAGCGGGAACTCTTGCATGAGAAGGTCTCCCATCATGGAAAACATGCCCATCAGTGCAAAAGCTTTGTCCCTCGGGTCCGTTGCCTTTCGGTGTCGCCATCGCTGAAGTATGTTCAGCGGGCTCTCCCCGGCCTCCGCAATCTCTAGCCCACGAACTGGCCCTGTGAAATTGTTGACGATATCGTGGAATGTGTCCAGGATAGGGAAATTCAAGCGTGGAAAAAGCCCTGAGCACAGCCTCCTTGCTGCCTGCTTTAACATGGCCCAGGGCAGACACAGCGGGCCCCATATAACCAGAGCATTAGATGGGAGCACGACTTCCTGGACCGTCCATATCCGCGACCACCAAGGGTTTCCATCCAGGACCAGAGCCTTGAAGGCGCCATGGGCCCTTGCTAATCGATCAGGAGTCGAAAGACCCGAAGGGATGAACTCCGAGTCACCCCACTGCCCCGCGCACATGCAAATGAAGTCAAATGCTCCCTCTGCATCGACAACAGTGAGCGTTTCAGGAAGCTCGCCGAGCCAGATCAGGCATCTCGAGCAGTTCTTATAGATCTGGCGCATTATGGAGACCTGCCGCGTCTTATCACGCGAATCTAATTGATTAATGCATAGCTGATCGACCCAGAGGGGCCGTATCATACTGGGTTTCCGAAAGCGTCTGAGGGCGGCCTGGAGGCTCTTTGTGATTTTGACTTTTGCTCCTGCTACCTGGATTGGCTCCAAGTTCAACTGGTCTCCCCAGACGTACGACAGGGCCTCGTATGGCTCGCAAGTTCCGAGCTCCAGATTGCGGATGTTGCAGCGTAAATTATCATCGTAGTTCGCTGGCAGCAGGTCGAGAATCCGAAAACCAGTTGTTGAATCCATTGAAATTTTTGGGGTGATGCTTTGAACCATGAATGCTTCCGTTCGTCAAAATGTCTGGCGCTTGTTGAAATGACGATGGGACCGGTGGTGGAAGCATGAGACACAAGACCCTATTAAAGTGCTGATATGTGTGGGAGGCTTTACAAAACGGTAGAATACTCCTTGGCGGAGGGGAGCTTCACTTGGCACTTGGAGCTCAACTGCGCCACAAAACAAGGGCTTTGGTACAAAAACCCCGTTGTCATTATCCCCCATTGTAGGTAGCTTCTACTCTAGATGGGCTGGGTGCTAGAGTACATTTAAGAAAAGAGGATATCATGGCAGGTTGTATTCTGATAATACAGGTTGCCTCGCTGTCTCGCACTGCCATTGAAATCACATGATGATCCGCTCTAGGCCCCTGTTTAATCACTTTGAAGTGTGTGAGGTGCCGGGGTCTATCAGAGAGAACTAGGCAATAGTGGGACATACGAGGGCCTAACAGTGAGGCAATGTGGATGCTGTGGGAATTTAGATCTAATCATTGGGTCTGATAAGGATAAACTTCAGAAATGCTTGACGTCAAGACCCGGAATCGATCGACGGTAGTTCAGGGAACCTTGCCTTTTGCAGGAAACGGCTCGGAATCCGAGGTACCCAGTTCGGGGTCGAATGCGGGGTCCAACGACCACCGTTTCTCAACGCCTTCACGCAACCTCTACTTTCAGCTAATTTCATTTCATTCCGGAAAATCGTCAAGACAAGATGACAGATAGAAATTTCCATGAGGCCGAATCCGCTTCACAGCTGGAGAATCTCCCCACGGAGGTGCTGCTACAGATCCTCGCACACATAGACGATGTGCACTGCCTGTGGAACGTCATCACCTCCTCGCCCGCCTCGTACCGCGTGTTCAATCAATACAGCGCTGAGATATTCTGGCGATCCATCTCAGAGAGCATAATCACGCCGCAGACACAGGATATCATTCGTTTTGTGATACAACTCCGCGCCGGCGCCCACAAGGGGACGAGCTTGGACGAAATCATGCGGAAGATCAAAGACCGCGAGGCTGGGATTGTGCTCGGGAAAAGCGAGGAAACGGGCTACCAGTTCGCAAACTGCGACGCCTCAAAAGTCCCATCTCTCAGTGTGTTACGCACCGTCCTCTCGACAGCATCTCAGGTCCACTGCTTGACCAGGTCGTGCATTGATCATCACCTACAACAACTGATTGACGCCAAGGCAAGGGGACGGCTGGAGTGGGCTCCGGAAGACGAAGGAGCGCGGAGGCCGTCCTGGGTGGAAGAGCAACGTGTTCTTCGCGCATTTTGGCGATTGCAGCTCATATACGAACTGAAGTTGGCGGTAACCACGTCACGAGTCCGGGACACTCCTGGAACAAGCGATCATGCGAATGACTTCGACATCCAGAGTTTCTACGACAGTAGCAACAGCAATCTCAAGGTCGCTTACCACGAAGTCATGACAGCTATTGAGTACGTCCGGCACATTAAGGCTCACAGAAGACACAGCTCGGGTTCTGAGACACATCGACTGCCCCAGCTGACTTGGCCTGCGAAGGATATCCAACCTTCATCAAGGCGGGTACCAACAACTGGTGCCATGAGAAGGTCTTCGCTAGTGCTGCCAGCCGACGGCCTCTGGATTGTTGACAGCATGAGCCGAGGCGCCCACTCGCCGATCAAGTACGCGGGCTTTGAGCCGTATAGGGCTTTGGGTTTTGCCATTTGGGACCGGCATCGGCTCGCAGAGCTTGGGTTGGCGAGCCCTCCTGGTCATGGTCGCGTCACGGGTCTTGGATCTTACTTCTCTTACTGGCTGAGGCTGCTGGATGCACGCGACTTGGCTCGAGCTGAAGAGGTGATGCGGGAGGTTGAAAACCAGGGAGGGCGACTGGGTCCGCTGCAGCCTATGATCCAGGATAATGCGTCTTGAGATGTGATTTGTAGACTTATGGTCATGGTTTATCGACCTACGCGATAGTCACAAGTAGCTGTACGTGGGCTTCATCCTAGGTTTGACACCACATTACACACGATGTTTAGATGCGTGCTGCTGTTCATTGGACGGGCCAACTGCACTTTCATGCTTCTCAATGATTCGTCTTAAGAACTTCCTGTGTCTCTGATTTATCTCTTCTTAATGATGATGATCGCTTCTCGTATTGTTCCAGCCCAAGAATTGCACCCGGCGATGAGAAAGAAACCCAGAGCACTTCTTCACTTCCCACTCCCCCAGTCAATCTTGACTTTTGGGTGATTACACCGTTGCTTTGCGAGCCCAGAACCCTGCAGCATCCCTTAGGCTTTGTCCTGAGATCCTTCATGGCTCAATATCCTGCTGATCTTGACTCAGTGCATCCAACGTGCCGCTATCATAGAGGTTTCTGAGTTTGAGACTGAATGTCGTGAGTCGCTGCCTTATCCACCTTAGCTCCTAGAACATCCTGGTCTCTGATGTACTCAGGCATCTCAACTCGGCTGTCTGATGTTCCTGGGAATCCCAGAGGAGGACCTCGGACTTGCTTCTCTGCCGCATTCGTGGTCATATCCGTTGTCTCGCATGCCTCCTTTGCGGGCATTCGACTGATCTCCCGCGCGTCTTGGAGAAGACCAAGTCCTAACTCTGGCTCATAGCGAAGACGACCAGTGCCGCATTGCTGCAAGTACCGAAGGACGCGGCGGTATGCCCTGAAAATGGGGTTGTTCTCCCATGAACGGATCTCGTCGGCTTCCAGGCCCATCTGAAGCTGTGCTTTGTACCAGATGTCTGCCTCGGGGCAGTCATCCTGACGTTTGTTAAGTCTCTCGGGGTTCGCGATGATGAATGCGATAACAGTAATCTCATCGATGGGCAGTTGTCCCCTGAAGATCTTCAAGGCCTTTTGTGTGACAGTCTTGAACTCGGGGGAGGAAGCAAGACGGTTGAGATACACGTCCATTGTGACACCCGGGACGGTTAAGATGCTGCATACCCGTAGTTTGGTGTGGCGAGGGAGTACCCCGTTCTCGGCGTCGGGCTTGAAGATGAACTCTGCAAGCTCCGTGGCCGTGTTGAAGTGGGGCATAGTACCAACTGGTTGCGTCTGCGATGCTTTAGACACTGCCGGAGAGACAAACTCCATAGGGTCCTCCAGTTTCTTCTTCTTAAGCTTTGGTGTTCCATCTGCAGGGGAGCTATTCGACGTCTTGGTACGCTCGCCACTTATTTGGCCATTTGCCCTCTTTTCACCCGTCGTGACAATCTGCCCCGCTTGGTGCTTGATGGGCTGCTGGGTTCCTCCGAATTTGGATCTAATTTGGGTGCCTGAGCCGGGCACAAACGTCTTCCGAATAGGAGCAGAACTGCTGTCCTTCACCTTCTTGTCAGGCAGGGATGCCTCTGTGGTCTTGCCTCCGACCCTGGCCTTTGCCCAAAACGGCAAGGGCTTCGCAGCAGATGGTCCGCCTTTTGACTTCGCTCCTACCTTCGACGGAGCGGCTGACGTGTCCTACAAAGAATGATTAGAAGCCGTAGCATAATATCTGAGGGAAGGTACAACTACCTTTGGTTTGAAAACCGAGTGAGTATGGCCCTGTGAATGGGGAATGCTGGGCTTGACGCTGGCTAAGGAGGGAAGTGCCATAGTTGATGTGTGCGAACTTGACCAAGGATTATGGTGAAGCTGTGCTATATGCGAGATATGCGAAGCTAGTTTAGTGTTCTCTGTTGAGGCGCGCTTTTTGCGTGTTCCAGATTGGGGTTGGAAGGAAAGGCGGCAAAGGTAAAGATTGAACGGATAGACTTTTATTGATGATGGTGCCTTGAGTTTGAATTTTGAAAGGTGCGATGTTCTGACAACCCAAGGCAAGTGCTGCACTGCGTGTTGTGATGCAATGGGGAGTCAGATAGAGCCCCGGTTTGGATGTTCCAAGGATGTGAATATGAATCTAGAACAGAAGGCTTTTTATCGTTAGATTTCCCGTATTCGAAGGTGCAAGAGTCCACTAGATACTTACCGATCAAGATAGAAGTACATTTTTGCGTTCTATTCAGGAAATGGAAGGCAGACTATAGGGTTAACAACCACCGGGGAAGGTACGACCAGTATGCAAAAGCTACACGAGATAGTGGGCCATATCCTTGATGTAGATTAAAGCGTTTTTTAACTATCAAGGAGATCTGGAGTCTACTATTGAATTACGATGCTGTGGGTTCCTCTGGTGACCTTTCTTTGAAATTTTAGCAGTCTCTTGTTGTTAGGAGTAACTTTTCCTCCCTCAATTACACATTATGTAGCATGCTATTTAAAGGGGTTTCGTTGGATACAAAGACCAAAATCGCGATGACTCTTCACCTCATCAATGACTCTGTAAACGTTGATGAAGAATGCGACAATGAGCCAGCTGCCCACTTGGCAAACTCAGCCATCCAAAGCCAGCAGAAGATGATCGGTATCAATGCAATCAACACCCACCAGAGCTCAATCGTCAACCGTCGTCTAAGCCAGCGTTGACATCGTGCGCCAAGTTTCCTGCGGTGAGAGCAAACCGACGTGCCGTACACAAGACAGCCCAGGCCCGGCCTCGACTCGCATTCCATGTGTTCTCGTCGTCTTTGCATCAGGAGTCTGGCCAGCATTAGTCAACAGGCTGCGCGTTTGCAAGTGAGAGGGAATGCATACGGCACGCTACCCCTGCAAAACCGTAGATCGCTGCCAAGATCGCATCGCTTATCGTTGGGACACTCGAGATGTAACATCCGGCGTTCCATCAGCCATTCCACCTTCAACCGGACACCAGTGTCCACGAGGTAGTAAAAATAGCTGCTGGTGTGCTTGAGAGAGAGCGCATCGGGGTAAATGAGCTGCTTCGATATGAGGAGATGGATTTCCGGAGGCAAGTCGGTGAACCCGGCATGAGTGCTATCCGCCGCCTTGCATTCTGAGTGCCGGCCTCGGGCGTCTGCGGGGTCCGGGGTGGGTCGTCGGAGAGACACGGAAGACTCCATTGTCGGGGATGAAACGGGGCAACGCCGCGTTGTAAATGAGGTGATCTAGGCTGGATACCGGTGCGCGGGTAAAAGGCAACACTTCTTTGTCGGGGGGAAAGAAGAACAAAGGTTATCTAACGTTGCTATGGGTTGCGAGGGCCAACCAAATATGTAGCCAGAAATCCTGCTGCCTTCGAATGATGTTTTGGAGACACCTGTAGCGTGGCAGCGCTCCTAGCGCGTCAGATACGAAGTTTCAGTCCGTCCGTCACCGGGGGAGGGGCAGCGGTTTTGCGTTGTCAGCGTCAGGCACACTCCTAGTGTGGCTGGTTTCAGGAGCCGCTTTGCCGAATTCGGAATTCAACGTGGCGCGGTCATCAGGCAACATTCCGAGCTGGAAGGATGTTCCGCGTTCGCCTAATTATGCGCTGGGGCCTACTTGCGAATTGTAAAAAAGGAGATGGTTCTGGTCACTTGACTTTTCAAAATTGGGTGGAATTCCACGGCATGCTGAATTCATGGGCTGACTATGCTCTATGCCATCCACAGAATCTGTAAAATTGGTGATACGTCAGTACACGTATTGACCTTTTGACTCGCGCAAGCCTGTACAGTGAACAAAATAAAGCTGTAAATCAGGAAGGGTATAGACGCAACATTGTGCAAATGATGAACTCCTGATCGATTCCAGGTCACACGCTTTTAAATAGGCACTGCATGACGTGAGACTGAGAGTCGATAATCCCGACATGGAGTTGTCAAAAGAGGGCAAGCCACAGTGGCGTAAAGAGGCAAGAGTGTGGCTGATAGGCCTGTCACGTGTGTCCCATCGAGTGCGGAATGAAGCCATTACGAGAGTATACTGGGTTTAGCGAATCATATATCATTCTAGTAAGTAAGGATAAGAATGGGGCAATGCCAGCTTCTCAATTTACTGGCGGCATTCAGTACTCCCTTCATAGAGGACCTGTTCTGCCAAGTAATTCAAGCATCACATTATCTAATCGACCGAAGTCTAATATGAGCGGCCTTATTGGAGTATCTCAGCTTTTGGGACTGGAGTTGAAGCCAGACCCGCCCATTCCGCTTTCTAGCTGTTTCCAACAGCTTACAATAGCCTTCATTGTATTGTAAGATCCACAATCGCATGCTTTGTTCAACTTTTTCAGTCTCCGGCCGAATGGCGTCAGACCAGAGATAATTCAATACCAACCCCCCCGAAAGACCCGCGGTCGGAACATCGCCCATTAATGTATTTTCCCACGAGAGAGAAGCTTTTGAAACATGTCGATCAAGCTCTCACCGCTGCTGATGAAGTCTCGAACTGACTCCTCGTTGTCCCGTTTTCGAAGGTAGATGGAGTTTTTTACTGCTTCGGATAATTTATCATCGAACGTTTTGAGTAGAGTAGCAAAGTCCTCTGTCGTGTTCGCATGCTCATCGTTGGGTGACTTTCCATAGCTGCGACAGTCCTCGGTCGCGTCCGTGAGCAACTTTCCAACAGACGCCAGGTCAAAGGCGAAGGAGAGGAAGAGCAGAGGCCGTTTTCTCGGATTCCACAAAGTGATGTCATATCCTGGCGGAATATGGTGCTTTGCCGCATCACTCTGATTAGAAACGATACCAGTTACTGATCGCCTTCTAAAACTCGTCATTGCAAAGCGATCTCGCCACCCTTCTTTGTTGTTGGCTTCCGAGCCCTTCCCTGAATTTTGTTCGAAGTCTCTTGGCTCTTCTACATTCTGGGCTTTTCTGCTGCTGTCCGATTGAGACCTGTAGTGGCCTGAAGCCTTTGGACTCCAGATTCGCAGAGGGATAATCCGATCGCTCGTGTTCTTGAACCTTGATTTTGTTTTTGAGAGCCTCGAATAAATATTTGCTGTCCAAGTCGCGATCTCGTGCGGCCTGTTCAGGACTGTGGTTGGCGCTTTGGCTGGAGAGGCAGCTTTTTCTTGCTTCCTGGGGCGCATTATCAATTCATCAGATACAGCGCTATCAGAAGAACCTTTCGCTTTCTCTATCGCTGGAAACGGCTGATGACTGCTTGAACTAGGAAGACTATGCAGTGAGACTAGGTTGGCAGGCTGAAGGCGGTGGGTTTGCGGCTCTTTGTCTCCCTGGAGGCTTCTACGAGGAAGCGGAATCGGAGGGGGTAGCTTTGGGTAAATGTACTTGGCCGGTTTAGGAGAAGATCGATCGTTCTTGTTGTTCGTTTCGCTGTATGTGTAAGACTCCAAGTCGTCTTGCGGATCAAGTATTTGATGTGGCGTAATCTTTTCATGTAGCAAGAAACGAATTGTGGATGGCGGGGATCGCGGACACATGCCATCTTGACCCTCGGAAGAATTTGAAGAGCGAATATCATGACGTCCTGGATCTATCTTCACAGGTGAGCTGTGGCCTCTGTTCGATTGTCGAGCTATGGTATCGCTCGGAATGGAAGATTTTGTTGCGATGTCCTGGTCGGTTTGCTTGGTAGGGCCTTTGCGAACAGTTACAGTGCTCCAAGCTGCAGATGGAACGTCTCCGGTAATACCAGGGGTAATGTTATCTACGAGCGCCGAAGAGCATTGAACTGACGATTCGGCATCACACTGATGCTTATCTTGCCTCTCCGAGGGATGACTGAACTGCCGTAGCCAGCCATGCGTTAAGACTTCTGTTATTGTTGGGCGTTCTTTAGGCGATGGGGCCAGAAGGTCCCTCAGAAAAGCCTCTGCCGCAACTGTCATCTCGCAGTATTTCAGGTTCTTTATCGAATATTGAAGTTGACCTGCAACGTACTTCTGTGGCAAAATGAAATCTGGCATGAACGGTTCCGTCGTCAACATCATGAAAGCCACGGTTCCAAGAGACCATATATCGGCAGCATAAGGGTGGCAGCCATCTTGAACGATACCGAACATCTCAGGTGTAGCAAATCCAATTGTTCCTTGTCGGAGCGTGCCCAGAGTGGACTGATCTGGACGCAAACGTTTGCTAATGCCAAAGTCGGAAATCTGGACCAACCAGTCAGGACCTGGCGATACCACAAGAATATTCTGCATTAGGGTTTAGTAAATTGACCATGACAATTGGTACGTATATAGCCACGTACTCCTGGCTTCAGGTCTCTATGCGTGAAATCATTCTGATGCATATGGCGAAGACCTTCTGCAAGCTGGCGGGTAATCACCTTCGCCTCCTCCTCTGGAATGGGCTCCGAGAGATATCGTTGCAGATCGCCGTGTGGCAAATACTCCATAGCAATAAAGATAGCCTTAGGGCTGTCAAACCAACCGTAGGATTGGACGAATGACGGTGTGTACTGTTCGTCAAGATCAGCACTGCATACATCGGCCAGATGCTGGCCCCTTGGTATCAGGACTACTTACACGCTCTTGAGAAAATTTCATGACGGCCTCCAACTCTCGATAGTAGTTGAAATTCTCCGCTATGGTGGTATCGATCGGTATAACCTTAACTGCCCTGACCGTCGGGCCATGCCGCTTTGCTGGGCGCTCGCATTCTTCAAGCCATACCTTCCCATAGGCGCCTTGACCCAATTGTGTTTTTCGTGTCCATGTTTCCTGTACACGGACTTTCCATTCACGTCCAGATGTCCCACGCTTGTAAAAGGTGTGCTGAGTACGCGTATGATTTCGGGAAAACGACGTTTCGAGTTTTGAATCCTTTACCAGGTCTGATGGCGGAGGCATGTCGAACCGTGCGGGGTCGCCCATAATGCGCATTGCCTAATAAGTTGATATCGCGATCGCGTCCAATGCTGAGACGGTATTCGTTAGTGGCACGACATTCACAGCGTTGACGGAATCCCTTGCACTTACAAAATCCATAACAATTTCGATCAGACGCTTCGTTCCTCTTCGATGGGGGAGGGTGGGATCTTCCCAGCCTTTTCGAGGCCTACGCGCGGGGCCTCCGTCTTGACCGCCAGCCTAATCAAGAGAGCTGCCTCATTATGGGACCTTGGGGCTGATTTCGCCAACGATTGCAGTAGCGGGACGCAGCCCCGCCAGCCCACACCAGGCTGAGCACGAAATGGTGCCTAATTACGGACATTCCTCCTCAAATAGTTTGCTGGCAGATTTATCCCTCATACTACCTCAAGCGGGGTCTTGAGTTGGACCGCGATCTCAGCGACTGGTCATCAATGTCAGTTGAACTACTTCTAGCTGCCGTTTCGGCAGCAGACCTGTGCCTCAAGTACGTACACAATACCACACCATACGACAATGACTGTGCTGAGTAATGATGCAGGTATGGCACAACATTGATCGAAGCTTATCGAGACCTCAGGGGTGCCGATGAAGCTGTCCAGTCAAAGACACTGATCGTGGAAGCAATTTGGAATAAAACTGCGATACAGGTGGAGTTCGTCAAGAGAATAGCCAAAGTCCTTGAGGAAGATCATTGTCGCATTCATCTCGAAGTATTGGAGGTTCTCAAGAGCAAGTTGATCTTGGCTATCTCGAAAATCAAATCAGTGGTCAAAACGGGGCCCAATCCGTCGGTCAAAAGGTGGAAATACACACGAGTACGAGAGGCCATTGACGACTCCATCGCACAACTCCAGCAATGGCAGAAAATTTTCGACCCGACTTGGTATTTGATCCTTCGAGTGGGAAACAGGTTGATAGACGATGAGCTGTCCAGACCTGGTGTAGCAGACTTCGGACATTCATCCTCTTCAACAGCTTCAGAACACACGAAGGCCAATACAATTACTTGCGATGCAAGCTACAACCTGCCTCGCCTAAAGGCCGACACCGAGGACTTGGCGAAAAAGCTTAAAAGAGAGGATATTGACGCGTTTGGTCTTCTTCCTTGCAAGGGTGTCATCAAGCAGAAAAGCCCCGAGACAAGAAAGCTTGCGTCTATGAGCTTAGCGTTCCAGTTACCCTACATCGATACAAGCAAAGCTCCTGTCAGCTTGAGAGAGTATCTATTACAGGATCGCAGGTTCAGTCTGAGTCGAGTGGTTGAAATTGCAAAACAGTTGGCCAGAGCCGTCAGCTTCATCCACACTTTCGATTTTGTCCACAAGAACATCCGCCCTGAGACCATACTTGTCTTTCCGGATCACGAATCGAAAAGGTCTTCTGAGCTTGGCTTGGCATACCTCCTTGGTTTCGACTCTTTTCGCAACGTGAACTTCCACACACTAAGGGCTGGCGACGACGCATGGGAGAGAAATTTGTACCGGCACCCAACGCGCCAGGGTTTTCAAGCTCAAGAGACGTACATCATGCAGCACGACGTCTACAGCCTCGGGGTTTGTCTTCTTGAGCTTGGGTTGTGGGACAGCTTTGTGGAATACAACTCCGATGCGGGCGAGACCAGCAGTAAAACGGCGCCAGGGATGGAGCTAGGGTTGAGCCTGGCCGATTTCAAATTCCAGTCAGGCAATATTGAGCAAACGCAAAAGATCAAGAATCAGCTGGTGAGCCTCGCGAAGGCTCGGGTGCCGGCTCGAATGGGTGACAAGTACGCTTCCGTGGTAATCACTTGTCTCACTTGTCTGGACGAAGACAGCGATGATTTTGACGGAGATGATATGCAGGACGAAGATGGAATTTTGGTAGGGGTAAGAGTTATTGAGAAGGTCTTGATGAAACTTGGGGAAATCAGTCTGTGACGACCGATAAGGAGCAAGACCTTGGTCTCTTATGGACATTTCGTCCTTTTAATGACTTCCGAATTCGATATAAACGTTGATTGAAGGTTGATTGCGCGAAATGGTCACATCCATCATATAAACCTTGTGTTTTGCCACGCAAGATATGAGATATTTGTCGTAGCTCATAGGTGGATCGATTGGTGTTCCTTCAAGACTATCCGCTACATGGCCAACGACTAGCATACACTTCCTATACTGTCTCGCCAGAACCTTAGTGTCCACGAAAATACTTCAAGAGCGTCCGGCCTACGCGCGACCTGTTCAAGTCCATATCGGCTTTGAGACAAAACACCACACCTTCCTGATCATCCATTGATTGGTACCGCATTCCCATTACACCCCGGAATCGTTCTGAAGGTTGGTGGAGTCGTCACAGGAAGGATAGACCGGCTTGCCTGTGGGATTCGTGTTTCCAGGCCACAAGTTCTTGCAATCATATGCCCAACTGTTCCAACTGGCACAAAGCATATGGGCTGCATCAAGGGCAGCTGAGTTTCCCGGAGGCCAAATCCCGTTTGCTGCCTTTTGACGCTCCAAGATCTGCAATGAGAGACCGCTAGACGCGTGTGCCGCAATATGACAGTGCATCAACCACACACCGGGGTTATCGGCCTTGAAGGCAATGACAACGTGCCCCTCCGCCGAGACCAGTACCACATCGCGGCGGGGGAAGTTGACGTTGGTGAGCTTAGGGTGGAAATTGTCAGGGTCAAAGTAATTGTTGTCGTCTTGTTGTACAATGGCGAAGTCATGGCCGTGAAGATGGATCTAATAGCGACTTAGCCTTTTCAATGTTCTGAGGCTGTCAGATTAAGGTCAAAACTTACTGGGTGTGGCCCAAACTTTGGATGGTCAATAACCAGATAGACCTGAAAATCACGGTTAGTGACAAGACTATTCACATTCGGTTCCAATGCAACGAGCCGCTACACTTCAAGATTCCGGAATTCGACAGTTATGCGCTTACCCAATCAGTCTCGGTGTAGTTCTCCGGCACAACAACCCAACCGGTCGGCCACTCATCGCCTACATTGTCTAGATTCAAGAACGTAGGGTTGCCGTAGGTCGTTTGGAACGGCGTCACATCGTTGTTGCCTTCCCCTTGGAAAGCAAAGAACGACAAGGCGTATTTGTTATCGGAACCCTCGGTAACAACATTGAACACCTCCCCTACCTTACCATTCGCCGGGCGCTGGACCTGCCACTGCAAAGCGGGCTTCAGTTGATCATTGATGGCCTTATCAGATTCGGCGGTATCGACATCCCATGCATTGGTGGAGGGGTCAGCTGTACTGGTCCTGTCGTAGCGGAGAATGCCCGTCTTCATGTAGTTGTCTTGGTCCCCGATGTCACGGTGAAGTGTAGATGAGCTGGCAGCATACGTACGAATCCAGAAGTTGCCGTCCTTTGGAAGAGGGTTGGACGAGGGGTCCGAGCTGTTGACCACTGGTGCTGCCTCGACAATGACATTATATCTCTGGCCGATCGCAATGGGAATTGAGGTGACGGTGAAGTTTTCAACGGGAACGAAGTCGGCCTCAACCACTATTAACTTGTGGTTATCGATTGAAAAGACGAAAGTATTGTCGAAGGCGGTGTTGATCAAACGAAGGAGATATCGCTTTGCCCTGGTCGCTGGGTTGGGATCCGCGTCATCAAACGTAATCTCAAAGCCACGTGGAATCTCTTCGTCATTTTGAATTTTGCCGCCCGAAAACCGAGTTATGTTGCCGTATCCACCCAAGAGAATATCCTGAGTATCTGGCTTGGCGTGTGGAAAGATGAATTGGAATGCACTGTTATTCGCTGCGGTACCAGTGTCAGCCGTTTTCACGGAGCGGGTCGGACTAGCAGATAGCATCAAACAAGTCAACAACAAAAACAATTTACCTACCCCAATCAGTGACCGTAATTGGTTCGATAGCAACGTCATACGGGTAAGAGGTTGGGCCATGGATAGTCTGCCAGTTGCTAGTCAGCCATGATGTGTATAATACATACAAGATCGCCATTGAAGAGCAGCCAGAAGACTTACGATAGGGGCTTGTAGTCCATCGGCATATTGCACGGAGTAATGACTGTGGTACCACGAAGTACCATACTGCGTCGCGTTCCATCGGTAGACAAACTCAGACTGAGGGGCAATGGGGCACTGCGTGAGGCCATTCACACCGTCCATGTGCATGGTCTCCCACTGCCGGATGCCATGCCAGTGGATACTAGTTCCGTTGTAAGCAAGAGAGTTGCGCACGTGGATTTCTACGGTATCTCCCCAGCAGGCTTCAATAAGCGGACCAGGCCAGGAGTTATTGAAGACTTTGGCTTCACCGAACGCCAGTCCGTTGGCGTTAATAGTGTCGTCCGTAACGTCGAGATAGTATACGCGTGTGATGCCTTTAGGGGAAACACTCTCATAGTCAGTGGTGATGTTGTATTCCTGGCCTGTTTGGGCGTTACGCAGCCAACAGCTTTGGTCGTCGGGAGTTCCACATGGCTTGAAGCCAGGCATGTTCGAATAGTCGCAGACGAATTCATCGATGTTGCTGCCGGGAGGCCTGAAGATGGGATGCCCAGGTTCGATACCGTCGATGTCAGGCCGAGACAAGCCAAACTTAGCTCCTATTGGGTATTGTGACCCTTGAGTAAGGAAAGGCGATCCGAACAGCGAGTTGGCAACATCAGTGACAATGATCCAGACATGGCGAAGGGACAACATGTTGGGTTGTTTTCATGCAGCTCAAAGAACTGCCAAGTGAGAGGGAGTAGAGCCTGGTCCACGAGCTGTGCATCATGAAAACGCTCATATAGGGGACTCAAGCGATTTTAAATCGTATCCAATTGAACTACTCTAGACCACTTCAACAAAATCAGAATCATGAATTCTAACGTACGGAGAAATCGTCCTGGAGACGACAAATTGAGGCTTGCAAAGGGCGAACTCAAAATCGAAAGGGCTTGCGCTGGAACTTGGTGGCGCTTTTCGTCACATTCGAAACCGTCTTTCGAGGGGGCGCTGCCAAGGAATTCTTGTTCGGCATCAGAATTCCATCGCGATGGCAATCTGGCGGCGAAACGCAGATCAAGACCTCAGAGCCGAGCAAAATCGAGGGCCATTTTGAAGTGCATTCACACGGGCCTGTCAGAGGTACTGTGGACTTTGCTGAAATGACCATATGGAATCTTTACCATCGGGAAAATTGGCTTTAGGCGTCCTCTTGATTCAGGATGGAAATCACGAGGTGGAAATTCGGGCCTCATGGCAACTCCCACCGGTCCAGCAAAAGGGACGGGCCGGCACGTGGGCGCCAAGCAATTAAGGGCGGCGTTCCGTGCCGCAATGAGACAACATCAGAAGAAAGTTTATGCCGGTATTTTCACTGGCCTGAATGCAGCCAGCCAACCGCAATGACCTACGGATGCAGGTGAGGGGTTGAACGGTCGACTCTCAGCCAAGCGCGCATTTGAGCAGCTGAAAGATTTCAGCTGCCCGCGCTTGTTTCAAACTGGGTCAATAGTCTTCGTTCTGGAGCGTGGAAGACAGAGGCGGGAATGGGGGATTGCCGAGCCAAGAGCAAAACGTTGGCACGCAAACGTCTCACATTGATCTCCAGCCAATCAAGCATGCCATTGCATGTTCTTTTCCGTGCCATCACGTCCTGTCAAAACGTCCAACCAGTTGTTTCGGCCGATAGACATCGTGCGATGTGTCTCAGTGTCTCCTTCTCCCGCGATTATGCCAGCGGGCTGCCCATAGTGGGCGAGGTTGACAAGAGACTTTCTTCTGATACTATGCTTCGGCGGTATCGAGCAATACTTGACGAATCTCGTAGAAGAACCCCCCCCCCCCCTGAATCCTGCTGTCTTTTACGGGGGATCAAATTTCCGCAGCATACCCACATTGATCTTCATCAACGAAGGGTATCGTTAGTCAGCGGCCATGGCATTCCCGCTGACATTTGATACGATCAGTTACATGCGGCCTGAAGTAGGTGCTGTCAAATGGATCGCGATCAAGTTGGAAGAGTTGGTTATGCTTGGAGTCGATGATAGAGGAGCACCTAACAAACCTGGGACCTCGGCACGGACGAGATCAAAGTATTATGTACCTACACGCATACTAAATTTGCTAGAAAGGCCCTAGTATGCAGACCAGCCTCCTTGTTGCATGCTTACCTAGACGCTGTATCCGTACAGATTTTCAAATCAGGATACAACATCACTGCAAGGCGTTCTTCAGAATGCTACTCTGTACTCCGCAAAGTCCATGGGCCTTGATACGAGGCTTGCATTGATGAGGCGAGACCGAAGTGTGGGTTCGGAAGAGGTTTCGTCAACCCGGAAATGCAACCGTTTTCGGTTTAGCCAATGAAGTGGGTTCAATCAAGGGCCGCGACTTGGCGGAAAATCCATTTTTCGTAATGGCCCACCGTCCCATCAATTCCTTTGATAAGAGGTTCGTCGGCTATCAGTGACTGAGTGGAAACGGGGCAGAAGCGAGCAGCAAAACGGAGAGAACAAGGTATATGGCCAGATTACAGCCTGTGCCAGCTGTCAAGCTTCTTCGGTGGGCAAAGGCAACGTTGATCCAGTCGAGATGTCAAAGAAGACACAAGTTGGGAACATGGATACTTGACGTTTGGAACTAGGGCAGCGAAACCTTGTCTTGGTAACCACAATACTTTGTTGTTAAACTATAGTACATTATCTTCGTGGTTTACATATCTCTCATCAAACGCGCAGTCTCTTCCAGACTCCTGGGTATTGCCTACTTAGGTATATCCTCTGTGAGCCTCTAATGATCTCGCAGACCAATGCACCGAGAACCATGTTGATCCGGATCAACACTCGGGTACAGAGCGGAGCTCCAGAGCTCGCGCATAATCTGCTCTCCGTGGCATGCTCTTAGACGAATCTTTGCGCGGGCTACTCCGTCTTCCTTGACGAGGGCCAACGTAGACGTCGGATTGCTGTTCCCTGTTCAACCGATTTACCGGACCTCAACCTTGTACTCGCTTTTGACCTGAATGCCCCCATTATACCTCGCTTGATCGTCGAAGCTGCGATCGTCGCTACGGTTGTCAGCGAACGCGCTGGTCTGGTTCCCCCCCTTCGGCTTCACGATGTGCTCCTGGCTACCAACCGATCCGTCGTCGGGAATTCTCTCGTGGTCTTCCCTCAAGCGCGACCGCTTGTGGTTCGAGCCGGTACCGCCGAAGGTGACGAGTCCGGTGGGGGTATGGCTGTTCGCGGTCGATCCCTTGTGGCGGCTGGGGAAGAGGGGCTTGATCGAGGGCGCGTTGGTGCAGATGATACCGATAACCTGCAAGTCAAAATGTTAGAGAAGCGCCCCCTGGTAAATACAATGCGGGGAGTTCTTACGGTTTCACGGATCGACCAGTTCAGACCCAGATCAAGTCTCTCGGGCGTCTGCAGGCAGATGATGCAGCGGAGAAGGGTGCAGATGACAATGAAGAAACCGGCGCAGAACATCAAACCGAAGGACAGTTTCCTGGTATGCTGAGTTAGTGCATGCCCCAAAGCGTTGGCAACAGTCAACTGAACCTACCTCTTCAACGTGGTTTGCAACCTCCACAGGAGGGGGATCGGGATGTACATGATCAAAATATCGGTGCTTTGGAACACGAAGTTAGCCCATGAACTACGGATGTCAGAGATGCAGCAGTCAATCTTACAAAACATTGGTTGTGACCAGCGCGTAGTACTTGGACCTATTCTGGGTACAATCATCTTCAGGCAGGTGTTAGTATTGTCATACTTGATTAATCAAAAGATTGATCAGGAAGTTGTCACGTACCTCCGGCGTAGGGATACACCTGCCAAAGCCTGTGAATCGGGCGGCAGTGACCGGTGATGACTGCAAGAGTTGCCAAGTACGCGGCAACAGTGATAACAGAAACCACCTTGACCAGGCGTTCCTCGGGCAGAGACTTGCTGCACATGGTGTCAGCGACTACGATATTCTGTAAACTCTTCCGAATTGGGGCTGGCTTACGTGACCCTGAAGAAGAAAAACAGCATGATGCCCTTCAAACTCCAGATCAAGCTGACGTAAATGTACCACGCCGCGAACAGCCACTTAGCGCCGGTCTCGTGACTCTTGTACTCTTCGGGAGTCAATGTGAGGGCAACTGCATCTGTCATGCCAGTAATGCTTCCCTTCTCGACTAAGGTCGCGGTGTTAGAGCAGTTACGAAGTCGTCACGAGGGTAGCGCAATTACCAATGATCTGGCACATCATGACCTCAAACTAAGGGGTTGTCAGCCAAAGTCCCGTCGCGACTCGCGCCCACTCGCTGTGTCGCATGACATACTGTGAAGAATAGAATGGCTGAAATCGCCAAATAATCGTCGCCTTGCCATTTCCAGCCAACCATCTTGCACCGACTGAAGACGCGGAGAAACAGGACGAGTATGCCGATGGCATATTCCACCCACATCTCAATGACGGTGGGCCATAGAGACTCTGGTACCAATCCCATGTTGGCTGCTGTGCGGTCGCGACCGTCTTCCTGCTCACGACAATCAAAGAAAAAGATGAGTAAACAAGGTCTAAAATGTCCGGCCAAAGACTAACGCAAGGTGGAGGGGAAATGTCCGACTGATGATGGAGGTTTATCAACAAGCAGGAGGAATCTCCAAACAATCCAAATCGGGACGATGCAAGGTCTTTGAAGTGCAATTGCAAAACTCGGACGCTCTTCCGGGTTGGCCTTCAGATTCTATTCGGCAGTTGCGATCGACCAAGCACCCGGTTCCTGAATCGCGGCAGCCTACGGCAGGGCCAATCCAATACGAAATGAATGTGGGCTGAGGTGGTAATTTGAAGTCCTACGGAGACAGCTCCGGGGGTTCCTGAGGGAATATGGAGCTCAATGTCAGGGTCCACAGCGAATGTATCGGCCGTTGGCGAGTATTACCCCTTTCCTGTTTTCTCTCTCTCTTTCGTCCGGGGAACACTCGACACCCAACAGCTCTTTGCAAGAGGCTTCTAAGCGACGAGATCAGCGAAAAATTTGCCTAAAGGGCGATGCCGTGAAATCTCACAGTGATCAAGCGAATAAGTGTCACGTCAGGGGGTCCAGTTCGCACTGACCTCCGGATCGTGAATGCGTTGCCGCCAGTGGCGGCGCTGCAAGGAACATGGAAGGTTGTGGTATCATTTTAGAAGACGAGCTCCGCTGCAGATACTGCACAAGAGTAGCATTCCTAATTACGCGATCACGCAATGACAATATGCATTCTGGAGTTGGTGGACTCTGGATATGTTTGTTGGCCGTTGAACCGCGAGTCTGGGACGTCCGTGTTCCGTCGACTCCATTCCCCAACTCGAAGTGATTGTCAAGTGATCTGACCTTTTCGTCTAATTTTGTGGTATTCGTGCAACCTTGTAGGTTCTCGCAAAACATGGATATGTTCATTTCTGCATCTTTCCAGTCATGGACTGCTCCGGCCGGCAAGTGCGTCGTTTTAATACCCAAAGTGGAGAAAGCTGGAGACGGTCTCTCCCGGGGAGGGGAGCCGGGAGATGGGTCTTTTGCTGGGGGCCCCTGTTAAACTTCTGACATACACCGCCAGCCGCTGAACTCTATTTTGACCAGGACTGACTCGCTCGACCATAATACACGGGAGCTGATTGGCCGGAAGCATGGAAGTGCTGTTATGGAAGCTCTTGTCTTCGTGTCGAACTTACGTGTACGGATGAACATGGTTGCAGTTGCATAGATTGGATCAACCCTCCGTTTATGACGCGTTGTGCCAGCAACAATCTCTCGACACAAAGAAGTGTGAATGGAGGCATCAAAATTTCGTATCTTCATAGATCTAATCGTATTACATTACCAGGTTACCACTCAATAGGCTGGGACGGAATGGGCTTGTCGAAGAAGGACGGGAGCTGCGAAGCCTCCACCACCTCGCTAGCGAATGACGGGTGATCGTCGTACGCCAGGAACCCTGTACCGTCGTAGCAGCCCACATATTCAGCGTCCATCTCCTCACCCTTCAGGATTGCAACGTCAACCCAGAGCAACAAATCACCGCCCTCCATAACTCCACCAGGTCCATACGCAGCGAAAAAGTCCTTCCTGAGCTTGACGTGGACCTTGTCGTAGCGACCGATGTACTCCATCTTTGAGAGATCCAACCAGAAGAGGATCTGGGCCTGGCGAATGTAGTCGAGACCAGGGAAGATGGAGTTGGAGTGGCCGTTAGTGTGACCGTTGGTGCCGTTAGTGCCGTTGGTGTGGCCGTTGGTACCGTTGACACCGTTGGTGCCGTTCACGCCATTCGTTCCGTTCGTAGCGTGTCCGTTGACAGCGCCGTTCGTCGCTCCGGGTTGCTTGTCGCCGGCGAAAGCATGGCAAGCTCTGGCGTTGACCATGCCCTTCTCGGGGCCAGCGTTCATGACGTTAGTAACCCATTGCTTGGTCAGGCCGTCGAAGTTCTCGTTCCAGTGTCCGCGCTCGTTATCGTTCATGTAGCTGTAGTCCTGGCCCTCGACGACGAAGTTGATGTTGTCGGGGAACTTGGAGACTCTGACTCTGCCGGACCGGATCTTATCGGTGAGGGGTCTCGGTGTAGGGACGGCGGGCAGGGGAGACTCGAACTTGTCCTCGGGGGAATCGGGGGTCATGCGCGAGCGGTAGGCACCCCAGTAGCCGGTCTTCGCGGTGAGGGGGATGGCCTCGCCGCAGTGGCCGAAGCCGGAAGCTTGGGGCTTGTTGGACTCGTACATGCCACGGGTGGCGGGGATGCTGACGGTCTCTCTCCAGAATCCGGCATCGGCAGGGAGAGCGGACCAGAAGGCGGCGGTCTTCGGGCTCTCCCACCATGTCTTGAAGGCCTGAGGCGAGGCCCAGTAGCTCATCCAGACCTTGGAGGGGAGGTCATTCTGCTCGAGCTCCTCGACATGAATCGCAGCGCCCTTGATGAGTTCGTCGAATCGGTTGATGAGGGCAAGCTTCTCCTCCGAAGGTGAGTCGGCGTGGTACTGGGCTCCGAAAATGGACACCGTAAAGTGGTGGGCGGTAGGGAACTTGGAGCGAAGCATGGTTGCGGTTTCTCGGCAGGAAGAATCGGCTGATAATGACAGGAGTTACTACGATACCCGGCTGCTGCTTGACGTCCGGGCCGCTTGGGCTTTATACAAGTAATGTTCCATGTTCATCGCGGGTAATGCTTACCCGCGATGCGCCCTCAAAGCCCACCTCTGGCGGCCATTGGTAATGAGACGTTCCTGACTGGAAAGGGCCGCCGCCATCTCGACGGCTTCAGCGCCTGGGGTAAACCCTTTGTGCATTCACATATCAGGCACTAGTGGATGTGCAATGTGGCACTCCTGGTGGGCTGTCCCCAACGCAGAAAGCCCATCCGTGCTCGAGCCCAGTCCCATGAATCCCAGATCCTGCGACTGTTGTCACCGCCCACAGTCCAGGGCCAACACGGTAAACCCATCCCAGTTTACGACAAATGCCGCTGGTGGCTGGCGGCGGGGGATTGGGACTTCGCTCCGTTTTGGGTCGATGCTCCCGCTGTCACATTCCCCGACTCATGTACGTACATACGCGAGTGAAGCGTCCGTGGGTCTGCCTCTGGGGTTCGCGGGAGAGATCAACGCTTTGATCTCCCAATTGAGTTCGAGATGTGGGGGCTTGTTTTGTTGTCTGCCTCCCCCTCGCTGAAATTCTTCAACGGCTTCTGCCGGATACTCGGTCTCGAGTTGGAACATGTCTGCGATAAAAATGTCTCTGGGACCAGCTCAGTAATTTTAAGCGTCGAGGTCATGGTTTACCTAAGTCAAGGGGAGCAAGAAACTTGGCAGTAAGTGGGAATATCCATTTGATTGTCCAGGGTCGGTGCTCAGTCCTCCTCTACGCGTTCATCAATGTTTGCTTAGAGAGGAAGCAAAAGATGTGTCCAGTTTGACGGAATGGAAAGGAACGATACTGCTTCTTCAATTTCTCTGCAGAAATGCCGATTTAAGAGTGTTCAGAGGTGTTTGGCTGTTTTGAAAATAACTCACTGGCGCAGTAACATGCTTAAATATGCTCAACTTACCACGCATGTCCCAACCTAACTATAAGATATGCTATTGAAATCCTCGGGCCGCTTGTTCATCTCAAACATGCGTGAATGATCTTTCTGAGGTCGGAAATATAGCTAGAGGCCGATTTGGTACCTGAAAGTGTGCACAGTCGGTGATAGGTTGGTCAAAATTCCTGCGGTTGCCTCCCCAAGGCCTCGGGATCTCGCTAAACACGTGTGTATGTACGGTAATGCAGGTAAGAAAAAGAAAGCAAACTGCATATGTCCTGGCACCTGCAATATTGCTCGTGGCAATGGCCTGATGACCCGGAAATTTCTGCATGTTATCTGCGCCGTCAAGCTGTCACGTTTGCCGAGGTTCTTATCTTGGAGTCTATTTTCGCCATTGTCACAAGCCACAATCTCCATTCCAGTGTCTACGTAGCCACAGTAATCAGCCACGAACTGGTCATGCACGGACCCAATCCTCCTCAGAGACAGCCATGGAAGACCCAACCCCTCAGTACTGAACGTTCAATGGTCTTAGACCCAACTCATATTCTATTCATCAGCAAACACGACCATTATCTTTGCGAGAACCAGGTTCTATGTGCAATGGGCAAAATGTAACCCACAGCTTTATGTTGAGAGACGGGTGGTAAATAGCTGCAAGAAAAGGAAAGGAGCGAAAAAAGAAAAATCGAATTCAATTAACACTAATTGGGGGGGTTTTGCAGTTGCTGCGCTTAACAGTCACGCGAAGACTGATCGCTACCATCAAACAATGCCCAATTCCTTTGCTAATTTAGTAGAGAACCTCTGACATTGCCGAGGTCAAGGTGACCGCCGCGATAAACCTTGCGACCAACAACGCACATTCAACAAGAATAAATTCAAGGGTTGCCCCCCTGATGCCAACACTTACTTTTCTGTTCACGGTTTAGGCAGAATTACAACTCACGATGCAACGCGCAAAAGATGTATATGGATGCCTGTTTCTTGCATTTCGCAACTAGCGATGGCTTTTTGGTAGAGAGTGATGTCATTGAATTGTGACTTGGAGAAACAATAAAGCTATATGTCTAAGTCTTACTCCATCCAGAGGCTGTGCGTTGCTTTTACAGCTTCTTTAATATATCGTACATGCCTCGTAACTCACGGTAACTACTTGGTTCCGTTCTCAATAAATGTTTCCCGCAACATTACAGCCTCTAACAGCGTGAGCGAGACACTGGAGGCAACTCAAAACCTTGCCTGCCTGTAAGTTAGGCAGTGCGCTCAGAATATCCTCTAACTTACGCAGCAGACTGAGTAAATAGCCAGATTCATACCGACATATAGATACTGGCGTGAAAAAACATGCGACCTCTCTTTTGCTGGGTCAAACACCAGAAATACAGAAGTATTAGCCAGCTGTTTGTAGACGGAGCGCAATTAACGCCTGGCCATGCGGGCTGATATTGCTAGGGCCTAGCTCAAAAGATTTCACATTCTTTTCGTGCATCTGGGCCTTAGCCATTTTGAACACCTTACTCGACTTATACCTGATGTGCCCAATAGTCTCAAGAACAATCAACTCGTGCTATTTGTACTGGGTCAGACACTCATGCAGCGAGTTGTAACCGGACATATGTTGACTTCGCGCGAGGTTCAGTCACTTCGTACTCGGCGTTGAAAAGTTTAGCTTGTCTTATTCACAGGGTTCTTGTCAATTAGAGGGTTGACTCCCCAAAGCGATCTGATCTGCAAAGATAGGAGTGTCATCGCGCAAACAAGAGACACACGAACATTGATCGATACTTAAATAGCAGCGCTGCGGCGGATCCAAAGTGCCCCGCGCTATGGCCACTTATACTTCTGTGGCGAAGTCCGACCACCGCAGTATCTCCGTGTTGACGCTAGGAACCTGCCGTTTATGAGATGTAAATTCACTGAAGGAGATTGAGATCAGTAAGCGAGAAGAAGTGGTAGCGGGCGTTACTGACAGAAATATCATGATGACGGACAAGGAGGGTTAGACTCGAAGGAAAGAAATTTTCGGCATCGCGCATAAATATTCACACACGGCACCAACGATAGGAAAGCCAACTGAAGTACGACAATCGGAGAAAACTGCGATCGGAATGCTACCCATCGACTGACAGGAGAAGTTGCATATGTTGTATCGGCAAGGGACAGTGAATCGGTGTTCGCAGATTTGGCAAGCTCCGCTCTCCTGAAGAGTCAGCCGAGAAATCAGCCGAGCAATCAGGCTCCTTCCAATTACCTTGGCCTAAGATACTCATTACCAGTCGAACACAAGCCATCAGGCACATAGCAGGGCCGGAGATCACGGCAGGCTTCGCCCATAAATTAGTGGGCCGTAGCAACCATTGAGCAGCAGGCTGCGAAACGGAAATAACACTAGCCCTCTCTCCGGCTGCACGAAGAAGCAGGCTGTAGGCACCCCATGTTGGAAGACGCAGGACGTATGCCTTGGCAAAGGGTAAAGTAACCAATCAGGAATCCTCAAAGAATCATGGTCCTTAGCAACTCGTCACATTGAAGCCAATGAACTTGTGGGAATACCTGCAGGTAAAGGGCGCAGCCTATTCTCCCCCACTCAACGCCAACGCCCGACCCATTATGAAAGATGTCAGACACTTGTACCACGGCCTGCTCTTGAGGCAGATTTGCAAGTGCTCGAGAGAACACCCCCTCCCCTCCGTTGCCTTAGGGAGGGTTCCCAAATCCGACCTTACTCCAGCACCACACTTGAGAATTTCAATTTCGACCGTTGTGAGATTATTCTGAAATCTGCAATTGAGCGGGCTACGTTACCAGCAGCCTGGTCGTCCTCACGATGACTACCGATCAGCGACCTCGACGTCGCGAAGATTTTCGAATTGCTGTGCTGTGCGCGCTGCCCCTTGAGTACAATGCTGCCACTGTGGCCTTTGACGAATTCTTCGACGAGGATGGCGACAAGTTCGGAAGAGCTGGCGGGGATCCCAAAAGGTACACTACTGGCCGGATTGGCAAATACAACGTCGTTATGGCTCTGCTTCCCGGCATGGGTGTCACGGGCTAGAGCCCGGCCGAGATCTCCGGCTTTGCCGGAGCAGCTACCGAGATCCGGCTCCGCCGGATCCACTATTCTGCTGTAGCACACCGCCTAGCCCCGGTCTGCATCACTGCTGCTAGGCGCCTATCCCTGT